AATACTAATCTCAGATAAAACAGACTTTAAAACAAAATCTACCATTAAAGACAAAGAATGACATTAAAGGGACAATCCATCATGATGACATAACCATAATAAATATCTACGCACCCAATTACAGGACTCCAAAATACATAAAACAAACTCTAACAACACTGAAAAGAGAAAATGACAGTTCCACAATAGTAGTAGGAGACTTCAACATACCACTCTTGGTAAAGGACAGAATATCTAGAAAGAAACTCAACAAAGATACAGAAGATCTAAGGGCCACAATCAAACAACTTGACCTCATAGACATAGAACACTCCACTCAACAGCAGCAAAGTGTACATTCTTTTCAAACGCACACAGAACGTTTTCCAGAACAGACCACATCTTAGGCCACAAAGCAGCCCTCAACAAAATCCAAAATTTTGAGATAGCACAAAGTATCTTCTCTGATCACAGCACCATAAATATAGAAATTAATAACAGGTAGAGCAAGTATATAAATTGAATACATGGAAACTGAATAACACCCTGCTTAAAAACCACTGGGTAATAGAAGAAATCAAAGATGGAATAAAAAAAATTCCTAGAATCAATTGAGAATGAAAACACATTATACCAAAACCTCTGTGACACAGCAAAGGCAGTGCTCAGAGATCACTTTAAAGCAATAGATGCACACATCAAAAAAGAAGGAAGGGACAAAAAAAAAAAAACTTTAGCTACACAACTCGAACAAATACAAAGACAACAGCAACAGAAGCCCACAGCCACCTGAAGAAAGGAAATAATAAAGATCAGAGCAGAAGTGAATGAAACAAAGGGTAGAAAAACAATTGAAAGAATTAACAAGATCAAAAGTTGATTCTTTGAAAGGATCAACAAAATCGAAAAAACATTGGCCAAACTGAGGGGGGAAAAAAAAACAAGAGAGGAGGCAAACAACCCAAATAAGAAATGAAATGGGGAACATTACAACAGACCCAACTTAAGTAAAAAGGATCATAACAGAATACTATGAAAAACCATACTCCAACAAATTTGAAAACCTAGTGGAAATGGACAAATTTCTAGAAACACACAACCTACCCAAACTAACACAAACTGAAGTTGAAAATCTGAACAGACCCATAACAAGAGAGGACATTGAAAAGGTAATAAAATAAACTTCCAACAGATAAAAGCCCTGGCCCAGAAGGCTTCACTGGAAAATTCTATCAAACATTCAGATAAAAGCTGACACCAGTACTACTCAAACTGTTCAGACTACAGAAAAGAAAGCGATTCTTCCGAATACCTTCTATGAAGCCAGCAAAAAAAACCCTGACACCAAAACCAGGCAGAGATATCACAAAAAAAGAAAATTACAGAAGAATATCTCTCATGAATATAGATGTAAAAATCTCAACAAAATCCTAGCCAATAAAATTCAGCATCATATCAAAAAAATAATACACAACGACCAAGTGGTATTCATACAAGGTATGCAGGGATGGTTCAACATTAAAAAATCAATTAATGTAATTCACCACATAAACAAAAGAATCACATAATCATCTCAATCAATGCAGAAAAGGCATTTGACAAAGTCCAACACCCATTCCTGATAAAAACTGTCAATAAAATAGGTATAGAAGGGAAATTCTTCAACATAATAAAGGACGTCTTCAGAAAAAGAATAGTCAATATCATTCTTAATAGAGAGAGGCTGAAAACATTCCCCTTGAGAAGAGCAACAAGACAACATTGCCCTTTAACACCACTCCTATTTAAATTTGTGCTATAAACCCTAGCTAGAGCACTAAGGCAAGAAAAAGAAATAAAGCGCATCCAAATTGGCAAGGAAGAAGTAAAACTGTCCCTATGTGTGGATGATATGATACTATGTATTATTTATCTAGTGCTGCTATAACAGAAATACCACAAGTGGATGGCTTTAACAAAGAGAAGTTTATTTCCTCACAGTAAAGTAGGCTAAAAGTCCAAATTCAGGGCATCAACTCCAGGGTAAGGCTTTCTCTCTCTGTCAGCCTTCTTCTCGTCAGTGTTTCCCCAGACTAGGAGCTTCTCCACGCAGGGACCCCAGGTCCAAAGGAGGTGCACTGCTCCTGGCACTGCTTTCTTGGTGGTATGAGGTTCCCCTGTCTCTCTGCTCACTTCTCTCTTTTACATCTCAAGAGATTGCCTCAGGACACAATCCAGTCTTGTAGACTGAGTCCTGCCTTACTAACACAACTGCCACCCATCCTCCCTCATTAACATCACAGAGGCAGGATTTACAACCTCTCTCATTAACATCACAGAGGCAGGATTTACAACATATAGGAAAATCACACAATACCAGGAATCATGGTCCAGCCAAATTGATACACACATTTTTGGGGGGACATAATTCGATCCATGACATACTATATATAGAAAACCCAAAAAACTCCATGAGGAAATTACTGGAACTAATAGGAAGATTCAGCAGAGTTGCAGGATACTAGATAAACATACAAAAATCAGTTGAATTCCTTTATGCCAATAAAGAGAACTACGAAAAGGAAAGCAGGAAAACAATACGATTTATAATAATCCTTAAAAAAATAAAATACTTAAGAATAAACCTAACCAGGGACATAAAAAACCTATACAAAGAAAACTACAAAACACTTCAGCAAGAAACCAAAAGAGACCTACATAAACGGAAAAATATACCATTCTCATAGATAGGTAGACTCAACATTGTGAAAATGTCCATTCTACCCAAAGCAATCTACAAATACAATGCAATCCCAATTCAAATACCAACAGCATTCTTTAAAGAAATGGAAAAACTAATCATTAACTTCATATGGAAAGAGAAGAAGCCCCAGATAAGAAAAGCACTATTGAAGAAGAATAAAGTAGGAGGATTCACACTACCTGACCTCAAAACCTACTATACAGCTACAGTAGTCAAAACAGCCTGGCACTGGTACAACGACAGACACATTGACCAGTGGAACAGAATTGAGAACCCAGATGTAAATCCATCCACCTATAGTCACCTGATCTTCAATAAGTGCCCAAAGTCCATCAAATAGGAAAAAGATAGTCTTTTTAAATGAATGGTAAAACTGGATGTCCAGCTGCAAAAAAATGAAACAGGACCCATAGCTCACACCATACACAAAAAATAATTCAAAATGTATCAAAGACCTAAATATAAAATTAAAAACAATAAAGATCATACACAAAAATAAGGTCAATGCTAGAGGCCCTAATACACAGCATAAATAGGATTCAAACTGTAACTAACAATACACAAATACCAAAAGATAAGCTAGATAACTGGAATCTTCTAAAAATTTAACACTTATGCTCATCAAAAGACTTCACTGAAAGAGTAAAAAGAGAACCTACAGACTGGGAAAAAAATTTTGAGTATAACAAATCTGACAAAGGTCTAATCTCTAAAATCTACCAGAAAATCCAACATACAACAAAAAGACAAATAACCCAATTAAAAAATTGGCGAAGGATATGAACAGACACTTCACCAAAGAAGACATTCAAGTGGCTAACAAATACACGAGGAAATGCTCGCAATCACTAGCCATTAGAGAAATGCAAATTAAAACCACAATGAAATACCATCTAACCTCAGCATTACAGGCATGAATCAAAAAAACTGAAAATAACAAATGTTGGAGATGCTGCAGGGAGACTGGAACTCTTATAGAATGCAAAATGGTACAGCCATTTTGGAAAAAGATATGGTGCTTCCTTAGAAAGCTAGAAGTAGAAATACTATATGATCTGGCAATCCCACTCCTAAGGATATGTCCTAGAGTATACATATATATGCACACCCACGTTCACTGCAGCATTATTCACAATAGCAAAAATATGGAAACAACTTAAGCGCCCATTAATAGATGAATGGATAAACAAACTGTGATACATACATGCAATGGAATACTACACAATGATAAAGAACAGTGATGAATCTTCAAATCATTGCACAACATGGATGAATTTGCAGGGCATTATGCTGAGTGAAATAAGTCCATCACAAAAGGACAAATATTGTATGAGACTACTACTGTAAAAACTCATGAAAAGGTTTACACACAAAAATAAACAATCTTTCATGGTTATGATAGAGCAGAGGGGTGGGGAGGGAAAAACACTAAGTAGACAGTAAGTAAGTGGTAACTTTGGTGAAGGCGAAGGCAGTACACAGTACTGGGGAAGCCAGAACAACTTGACCAAGGCAAGGTCGTGGAAGCTCCATAGAGACATCCAAACTCCCTGAGAGGACAGAATTAATGGGCTGGGGACCATGGTCTAGGGAACATCTAGCTCAATTTGCATAACACATTTTATAAAGAAAATATTCTACATCCTACTTTGGTGAGTAGCTTCTAGGGTCTTAAAACTTTGCAAGCGGCCATATAAGATACTCCACTGATCTCACGCCATCTGGAGCAAGAGAGAATGAAGAAAACCAAAGACACAAAAGGAAAGACTAGTCTAAAGGACTAATGTAGCACAACTACCACAGCCTCCGCCAGACTGAGTCCAGCACAACTAGATGGTGCCCAGCTACTACCACCGACTGCTCTGATAAGGATCACAATAAAGGGTCCCGGGCACAGGTGAAGAAAAATGTAGAAGAAAATTGTAACTCACAAAAAAAATAAAGACTTACTGGTCTGACAGAGACTGGAGAAATCCTGAAAGAAGGCCCCCTGGACACCCTTATAGCTCAGTACTGAAGTCACTCCTGAGGTTCACCCTTCAGCCCATAAAACAAAATGAGACTAAATGGGCACACCAACCTATGGGCAAGGAGAAGAAGGCAGGAGGGGACAAGAAAGCTGGTAATGGGGAACCCAAGGTCTAGAAGGGGAGAATGTTGACATGTTGTAGGGGTGGCAACCAATGTTACAAAACAATATGTGTATTAATTGTTTAATGAGAAACTAGTTTGCTCTGTAAACCCTCATCCAAAATACAATTAAACAAAAATCCAACTCTCATACACTGAGCAGTCCTGCCAATGAAAAAAAGAAAAAGTAAGGGAGGCTATAAATGTTTATATCTGTCACCTAACCATTAGGAGATAATAATAAATAACCAACACTACCAAGATTTTGGAAATAAATATATAAGCTGTTATATATGATCTTTCTAACACCCAACTGAGGGAAAAGTTCACATGTGCAGTATAAGAAAACAGGAGTTTATACAAATTTGAACTAAAGGCACATGCCCGATTCACCAGTAGTTCCCTTTATATTTTTTCTTGTTGTAAATATACACAAAACAAAACATTTGTAATCTCAACATTCTTCACGGGTACAATTCAGTGACATTAATTATGTTTGCCTTCTTTTCAGTACAGTTTCTTACATGTAAATGATGTACAAACACACACACGTACACTCAGCTTTCTAGTTATCTAGTTTTTCCCCACGTGGTGATATGACAACTTACCCGATATCATCAGAAAGCCACCTCCAACTTTATAACTTCCAGCACTGGCAAAGGGTACACCACACACCAGCAGAAATCCCCCAGCCAGACCAGAACCAACACCTAATATAAGAAAGATCGCCCAGAAGCCTCTGTATACTAGAGAGTAAGAAGAAAAATACATATATTACAAAGTAAAGTCAGTAAAATTCGCACTGAACTGCTGAAAGCAATCTAGCATTAGCATTGGGCACTAAGTTTTTTGGGGTTCCCAGCTTTATAGTTATTTATATAATTGTCTGAAACACCCTTCTTCATTTCTTCACCTGTCTCTCTCCTACACATCTTTAAAAACACAACTCATATGACCCCTCTTATTGGAAGCCTTCCCTTACTACTATAGTCTCTCATAGCTGACTTTATAAAGGAATCTATCATACTAGACTATAATCCCCTGTTTTCTTGCCTGTATTTTCAATAGGCAGAGAGCTCCTTGAGGGCAAAAGTCGTTCTGAGTTCCTAACAAGTGCCTGACATGTATTAGGCCTTAAGAAATAATTGTTACATTGAATCATATGTATTCACTCAGCCTCAGTCCTGTAGAGTCAAAGGCAGGATTATTTTCATTTGTAGCAGGCTTCCTAGCTCTAAATTCTCTATGAACATTCGTGACTTTGATTTACTGTGTGTGCAAAAAACTGTAAAGGAGAATTCCAAATTGAGTGATTTAAAAAAAAAAAAAATTCCCGATTCTTAATCCTTGGGCCATGCCTTGCCTCTCCTTCCTTCCCACACGAAATTTACCAGCATCTGCCAAAGTGTCTGTTTAACTTAAACCTGCACTGTTCTTTGTAACAACTCATCCTTCTCCTAACATACAATTGCCCTTTTCCTTCCTCTAGCCTTTCTGAGTGGCTGAGTTCCTTTATAGCAAGAGTGTGTGAGCAGACTAAATTTTCCTCATGAGTACTGCGTATAAGTATGTGAACTCTAAAAATACAAGAGGAGCTACCGTTGCTTTCCTGAAAACCAGAAGCAAAAGACGATGGAGCTCAGCATTGCATTTATCTTGCTTTTGTTACAGGGGTCCCTATGGACCATCTGAGAGAAAAATACTACATGGGTATTCCTAATATATACAAACTGAAGAGGAGCACTGAAAGCAATTATTTAGATTGTGAAGCACATCAAATAACAATTTCCCTTTAAGGGTCTGGACTTTCATACGAAAGTAGAATGTGGAGCCTAAGTTCTCCAGAAAATCTTTCAGTGCATTGTGTAAATTTTAGCTCTGATTTTTAAAATGTATTCTTCTGTCTCATTGATTTTAGTGTTTTACCCTAGATCTAAAATAGCTTTAAGATATTCTTTTATTCTTACAAAGTCTAGTAACTGGAAAGGGTGTTTTAAATCAAGAGCTTCCAGCCTGGGAGAGCTATTTTGGGGCAGAGCAGGGAGTTGGATTGGCATGTGAAAAATGACAGTAATCACTCTACCTTGCACCTGTTCAGAACCTTAATCTCTTTCAAAGAATTTGCACAGTTCAATATCAACTCTTTTGAAAAGAAATGCTTTGAAGTGTCTGATATTATGGAGCCCAGGTCCATATTAAAGGCTGTACTCAGCTATTTGCTTGACTGTCAGTGATAGCAGCCTCTCCGCATTGGAATATACCCTTCTCCCTGAGGTAGAAATATCATCACCAACAGAAGATGACAGGAGAGGAGGGGACAATAACAACTCTACTCCAAATGTTGTGACTAAGAAATGGATATTTATTTTTATCAATTTTCCATGAAAAGGCAATGTTAAATCCCAAGGACAAGGTCAGTATGTTTGTTCATTCCCCTCACTAAGGTTCCCAGAGTAAAGTACAAGTTAAATTCACCAGTAACTATGAAACAAACATTCAATCCATTCAAATATCAGTCTCAATAAGGGAACACTGAGCAAGAGCAAACACTGTGTACATTTCTAGTATATGAGTATATAATCCCCCACAACAATATTATTTACATTGGTTTCTTTTATTGGTAGCCATGATGCCTTTTGTGAATTTTCTGATTATCATCTGAAAGTGCAATTTTCTTCAAAATCTGAGAGACCTGTGATAACTTATTGATAACTTATTTAATCTTTCTGAGTCTCAGTTTTTCCAGAAGTAAAATGGGGACAATAATAACTCATAGAGTAATTGTGATGATGGAATAATAAAGTTGAATGTGTAAAAATGCATGGTGTTTAATAAATGTTGGCTACTTATTGTTATTATCATCTTCATTATTTTAATCATAATACCATTTGATAGTGTCTCCTTTGAGGCTTAAACCATAAGGATTCCACAAAAACACAATTAAGCCAAATTGTTCCTTTAATTTTTCTTTAACTGAGGCTGTTAAAGAAATAAACAGTGGAAAGATCACTGTGCTAGCCATCAGTAGACCTGAATGCTTGTGCTGGCTCTGACCCATACTTGCCTTGTTGCCTTGAACAAACCACTGCATAACTCTAAGCCTCAATTTCCAACCCTATAAACTGTATATAATAAATTTTTCGTATCCCTCACCTCAGAGGGAAATAGACGACAATTTGTTGCAGGTGGTTTCATGGTCATTTTTTTAGTGTGCAGAGTAAATGCATTTATACATGTATCATTTAACTCAATGTCTGTCTCACAGTAAGTGTTCAGTAAGTATTAACTACCATCATAATCTTTGACTGGATTGTGCGTTACTTGGATTGTGGCCATTTTTGGTGATACCATAAAATGACCATATCAAAATGTAAAACTTCTGATTTTATTACCAAACGGTATGTGGAATAACTCATTTATAACCTCACATCACCATGGCCTCCCACCCTTGTTGTAGAAGTATAGAATTAGAGCATAACACTCAGGAATGGGGTGAGATTCAAGGAGTAAAAGTGTGTGTTTTGAGTATTACTCAGAAAAATGTTAGATGACTTGTGTTTTCCGTATTTTAGTCCAGGTAAAAATGGTCTATGCTAAAACAATGCATAAAAAGTTACTTCAAAATGGCCACATTAAAATGGCCACATCAAAATCTCATGTACCCACAGAGCTCCATTGATGTCTATTGTGAGGATCAAATTAGGTAACGGATTTGTGAGATTATTACTAATGGTGGAACAGACATCTTATGTGCTTCTTGATTGCTCTTTAGTTTGTTTGCAGTTCGGTATAACTGTAGTGTTTGTGGGTAAAATAATATAATGTCTAGGATTTGCTTTACAATATCCCCTCCACCACCACAATATAAATGAAGGAGAGGAACACATGAAACAAGACTGGCAAAATATTGATTTTTTTTTAGGTTGGGTGCTGTTTACCTGTAGTTTTTAATGCTATTTATTATGCTACTCTATTTTTGTGCATGTTCAAATATTTTCATATTCATTGTTCTAAAAAATCAAATGTGCTATATTTCAGATAGGAAGATGATGTCACCTATCCTTCAATGCTAGGGAATGGAAGTGGAATAAGTTTCTGAATATTTTAGGAATGAGTTTGCATGGAAACATTTGAATTATCTTGCTGAGTTCTCTCTTGGGTCAGTGCAGTGTAATGAATAAAATATAGACTTTGGAATAAAAAGTACTTAGTTCTTAATTTGGGTTCTACCACTTCTAATCTTTCTGAGCATCAGCTTCCTCACATGTAAAATGGGGCCAAGAATAACTAACTCATAGATTCATAGTAAGGAGGAAATAAAATAATTTTCATGAGGCTTAGCACCTAGTAGGCATTCAAATATATGTTCCCTTTCCCTTTTCCTTTCATTTGCATCTAGTGTCACCCATCGACAAGGTGACTGGATGAAATCTCTTTTCTGGCTGGAGAAAAGAAGCAGAGCCAACCAACTTAAACCAAAATGTAGCACAAAGCATTGGTTTTATTAGTACCAGTTAAGTTTTTTTAAAGCATATATTGCCATGTACAGTCTGAGGTCATAAACATTAAGAATCCTGGGGATATATTCCTAAACTTACTTGTGGTTGCATCAAAAGAAGGATGTGGGAAAGGTCCAACAGCAATTGGCATAGGAAAGAGATAGCCAGGAATACAACGCTTGGGATGAGGCTGGTTCACTGGAAAAGAACAAGGATAACTTTTTTGAATTCGAAGACTTTGGAAATTTAAACCTGATCCTTTATGCAACTTACAAATCAACAAAATGTTATAATAAAGGATGAGAATGTTGGGGTACAGAGAGGGGAAATAACTAGTCCAAGGTCACATCCAGACAAGTGGGGACTAGAGTCCATGTGGCCTGACTCTCGTTTAGTGTCTTTTCCAATAGCCCTATCTCCTTTGATATTTTGTACAATTCAACTCAGTTGAACAAAGTTTATTCAGCATCTGTTGTTGTGTGTCATCGAGTTGATTCTGACTCATAGGGACCCTATATGACAAAGTAGAACTGTTCTATAGGGTTTCCTAGGCTGTAATCTTTATGGGAACAGATCACCAGGTCTTTTCTCCCACGGAGCCGCTGGTGAATTTGAACCGCTGACCTCTCACTTAGCAGCGGAGCACTTAACCATTGCACCATCATGGCTCCTGATTCAGCATCTACTTTGTACTAAAAAGAGCTGAGGTTGATGCTATGGGGAATATTAAGTCTCCAGCTTCAAAGGGCTCCACGATCTAATGGTGAAAATAGATACACACATCCAAGGAACAATAATCCATTGTAGACTGTTTAAAGTCACATAAAATGTACTAATAATACTACTCTAAGTGTCTAAGGGAAGAGAGAGATTAACTGAGGGCTCCAAAGGAGATGTTTCAAAAGTTATGGAATTTGACTTCGTCTTAAATAATAAGTAGGAGTTTAACAAGTGAAAGTGGGAAGAAAGACATTCCAAGCAGATAATAGAGACCAGACAGGGGCAGTGATATAGGAAATTACAGAGGATGTTTGGGGCAAGAAACTAGATTTCAGAAATCGAAGAGAAGTGAAGAGATTTTCACTTTACACAAAGTTTATCTAGAATTAGAGGGACAAAACACATCTACATGTCTGGCAATACAACATAGTGGTACCATTCTCGTTTTATTTTCTAGCTAAGAAACAAGCCAAATCAACAGGAATGTGAGATACCACCCTCCAAATTATAATACATAACAACGTGACATGGGCCAAACCATCTGTAAGTAATTTAATTGTTTGGATGCCAGGTGCCTATAGTCATGGTAACTAATATGCTAAATGACATAATCAGGACCCAAAAAGATATCAACAGTAGGTTGAACTTAGCATAATGAAATTTAACACAGATAAATGTAAAGTTTCTTACTTAACCTCTAAAAGTAAGTTGTGTCTTATGGGATGGGAAACATGTTGATAAACAGAAAATAAGGTAAAACTAAAATAGGCCAATGGGATTCACTATAAACTAAATATAAGCTCATCGTGCATTAGTCTTACCAAAACAGTAATGCCATTTTAGGGTTGCATGAATAGAGGTAGAATACAAAAACTAAAGAGAAAAAGAAGTAATAAGCCACATGTGGGGTACTATGCTTAGTGGTGGGTTCCACATTTTAAGAAGGCCACAAGCAAATTAGAGCACACTGAAAGAAAAATGACTAAACTAGGGACATAATAGAAAATAATATCTTGCTAGAAACCATAGAAGGAAATTAGAATATTTAAGACTAGAAATACATGGCGGGAGTGAGAATGAGGAGGGACGAATGATAATGTTCTTTAGCAACCTGAAGAGCTGTCATAGAGAGAGGTGTCTAGTGTATTCTATGCAGTTTCAGAGGACAGAATCAGAGCCCATGGTCAGAAAGTCCAGAAAAACTGATTTTTATTCAATAAAAAGAAAAAATGTATAACAATTATAGCTGTCAGATACTACAATAGGGTGTCTGATGAGAGAGTTAAAGCCCCCTTCAATGGAAGTATTTCAGAATAGAATTGTGAAGATGTTATAGAAGTGATTCATACATCAATCAGGTAGGAAGTTGGACTAGATAATCTCTAAGATCTTCTCTAACAGTAATGTTCTCTTATTATGAGTCTATGAAAAAGCATGTCATTAAAATGGATGAGCCATTATATCAACATTAATACCAAAGTGTCTTGTCATGATTAATACTACTGAGAATGTTAAATGCACTAAATGGAGTGAACACTTATTTTAAAGTGTTTTCTAGTTAGCAGTAACACTTTATAATAAGTGCACATTTGTCTCCACTTAGATTACTAAAGAATTCCCATTGAATTATTACTGCTGTATAGATAACAAATTAATTTGCTGTAATAAATGCTTTTATGATTAACATCGAAGGAAAAAAAATTAAGATCTGTCTATGCTCTAAAAATGTGAGTCATTAATGACAAAATTGGTGTTTAAACCTTCACACATTTACTCCAACTCCGTTTGACATGCTTTATCCTCACCAAGTTTACTTCATAGGTCGGACATGTCAAGTATGTCAATCTGATTATACACATCAAAAACTATGAAGATGTTCACAAACCTTGGCGAGGTACAATGTACTGTGGTGAATAACCTTCGAAAGCTGGAATCTGTGTAAGACAGTAACCTGTCAGAGAAGAAAAACTCAAATATTTTCCACTAAATTGAGCTGGAAAACTAGCAAGACCTGGGGGAAAAGAAGGCAGTCCCATCGAGTTCTAGCTCTCACAAGTTTCGCTAAAAATCAATAGGAAAGAAATGCTTTGTATACAAGGATGTATAAGCATTAGTATGTGTGCAGTGGGAGAACAGAAACAATCCAAATGGCTAACAACAGATGAAAATCAAACAAAAATACATAAATATGAAGGAATGTTGGGTTATTTTTAAAATGACTAGTTTATGGATGATACCAATTTGAGACTTGGATATGAAGTAATGATAAGCAGAAAAATTATACCCAAAAATGGTAGAGGCTATCTACAACTATATAAAAACAATACAGGTTTATGCTGATATGAATAGAAATTATTTTGATTACACATATATCCAATAATCATTGTAAAATATTAGAAAAAACAGAAAAATTTAAAAACCCAATAATGTAAATTCTACAATACAGAAAATCACTGCTAGATTTTTTTATTGTTTTATTAAGATATAATTCATATACCATACAATTCACCCGTTTAAAGTGTTTCATTTAATAGTTTTTAGTATATTCACAGAGTTGTGCAACCATCACCATAATCTAATTTTTAAACATATTCATCACATCAAAAATACTGTGCTCATTTGCAGTCATTCCACACCCCACCCTCAATGCAAAGCAAACTTAATCCATTTTTTTATGATCTATTTTTTGGACTTTTATATAAATGAAAAAATACAATATGTGGTCTTTTTTGAGTGATGTCTTTCACTTAGCATAATGTTTTCCTGGTTGATACTTTAGCAGGTATCAGTATTTTTTCCTTTTTATTTCTGAATAATATTTCATTATATGGATATGTCATATTTAATTTATCTATTCATCAGTGTATATATAATTGGATTATTTCCACTTGTGGCTATTATGAATAATGCTGCTATGAACATTCATGTACATTCATGTACAAATTTTGTGTGGATGTATTTTTTCATTTATCTTTGTATATCCCTAGGAGTGGAATTACTGAGTCATATGGTAATCCTGGTGGCCTAATGGTTAAGAGCTCGGCTGCTAACCAAAAAGGTCAGCAGTTCAAATCCACCAGCCACTTCTTGGAAACACTAAGGGGTAGTTCTACTCTGTTCTATAGGGTCTCTATAAGTCGGAATCGACTCAACAGCACCTAACAACAACAACATTGATAATCCTATGTTTAACCTTTTGATGAACTGCCAGACTGTTTTCCAAAGTGACTTCACGATTTTACATTCTCACCGGCAGTGTATAGGGTTTCAATTTCTCCACATTCTCCCCGACACTTGTTATTATGTGTCTTCATGATTATAGCCACGCTAGTAAGAATTGGTCTGACATTGTGGTTTTGATCTTCCTTTCCCTGATGGCTAGATATTGAATATCATTTCATGCCCTTATTGTCCATTTGTATATATGTCTCTTTAAATCTCTTAGACATTTTTAATTGGATTATTTTTCTTTTTATTATAGAAATTTAAGTTTTCTTTATATATTCTGGATACAAGTCTCTTACCAGATCCATGATTAGCAAATATTTTCTCCCATTTTTTTTCACTTTCTTGATAATATCATTTGGAGCACAAAAGTTTTGTTTTGTTTTCATTAAGTTCGATTTATCTTTTTTTTCTTTTGCCACTTGTGCTTTCAGTGTCCTATCTAAGAAATTATTGCCTAACACAAAGTCATGAATATTTTTTCCTTGTTGTATAAGTATTATAGTTTTAACTCTTACACTACACTGTAATCCATTTTATTTTTGAGTATGGTGTGAGATAAAGGTCCAAATTCATTATTTTGTGTGTATATATCCCAGTGTCCCAGTACTGTTTGTTGAATGACCATTCTTTTCCCATTGAATTGTGTTTGTACCCTTGTGGAAAATCAAATGACCATAAATGTAAGGGGTATTTCTGGACTCTCAATTCTATTCCATCAATCTATATGTCTATCCTTGTGACAGTACCACACTTACTTGATTAATATGGCTCTGTAGTATGTTTTAAAATGCATTAGTTATCTAACTTTGTTCTTTTTCAAGATTGTTTGGCTATTCTGGGACATTGCATTTCCATAAGAACTTTACAGTCAGCATGTCAATTTCTGGAAAAAGCCAGTTGCAATTTTGGTAGGGGTTGTATTGAATCTGTAGATCAGTTTGGGGAATATTGTCATCTAACTGTTATTTAATCTTCCAATCTAGAAACAGAGGATGTCTTTACATTTATTTAGTTCTCTTTAATTTTTTTTCAACAATCATTTGTAGATTGAATGTATAAGTCTTGCACTTCTTTTGCTAAATTCATGTCTACTTATATTGTTTTTCATGCTATTGTGAATGGAATAGTTTTATTAATTTCATTTTTTAATGTTTATTGCTAGCATATTAAAATACAATTGATTTTTGTATATTGTTGTATCTTGAAATTTTGCAGAACTCATTTATTAATTATAATATTTTTTGTGAATC